CACACACACACACACACACACACACCCCAAACCTATTGGAACTAATAAATGAGTTCAACAGGGTTTCAATATTCTTTTCTCCATTGAATGGTCTTAGTATCCTTTTATAGCTGAAATGATAAAACTCCTAAAAAAATAGGTGTAAATCTTTGTGCCCTTGGATTAGAAAATGGTATAAAATATGACATCAAAAACATAAGCAACCAAAAAATAGATATATTGGGCTTCATTAAAATTAAAAACTTTTGTATGCTATACAAAGTGAAAAGACAGAATAGACTAAAATATTTGCAAATTATATATCTGATGAGAGACTTATATCTAGAATATATAAAGATACTGTTAAAGTGTACAGCTGAAACTTATTGGATTTTGTTAACCAATGTCACCATAAAAATTAACTAATTAATTTTAAAAAAATAGAATATATAAAGAACACTTAAAAGAACAATAAGAACAAGGAAGCCAATTAACAAATGGACAAAGGATTTTTTTTTTTTATTGGACAAAGGATTTAAATAGATGTTTCTCCAAAGAAGATTCTAGCAATGGCCAATAAGCACACTGAAAGATGCTCAATATTATTAGTCACTAGGAAAATGCAAATGTAAACCATAAGATACCATTTCACACCCACTAGGATGACTATAATAAAAAAGACAGACAATAACAAGTGCTGATCAGGATGTTACAAAATTGGAGCCCTCATACACTGTCGGTGGGAAACAGTCTGGCAGTTCCTAAAAAGGATAAGCAGAGAGTTACCATATGACCCAGCACTTCCATTCCTAGGTGTACTGAAGAGAATCGAAAATATCTTCACACAAAAACTCTTGGTGATGTTCATAGCAGCATTATTCATAATAGCCACTAGAGGAAACAATCTAAATATCCATCAACTGATGGATGAATAAACAAAATGTGGGATATCCATACAATGGAATATTACTCATAAAAAGAAATAAGGAACTGACGCATACTACAGCTTTGACAAACCTCGGAAAACATGTTAAATGAAAGAAGCCAGACACAAATAGCCACATATTATAGGATCCTATTTTATTAAATTTCCAGAATTGGCCAATCTATAGAAATAGTAAATAGATTAGTGATTGTTGAGGGCTTCTAGCGGTTGGTGTGAATAGAGAGTGACTAGTAAGGGGTACGGGTTTCATTTTTAGGATGATAAAAAAGTTCTGGGTTTAGACAGCGGTGATGGTTGTACAACTTGTGAATACATTAAAAAACCACCGAATTGTACACTTAAAAAAAAAAAAAGGCATGATTGAGCAGTAACTACCAAGCCACTTTCTCCTTTTTCCTGGGAAGTTTGAAGCTAACCACTGTTACTGTGCCTCAGACATTCTCCTCCCACTTAACAAGCAGAGCCCCAAGGGGCTTCAGTAGTTGGCCAGTCCCCCACTGGTTGTGTGTTAGAGTTGGGTTCAGAACCTGCTCTGGCAGGCTGGCCCTCAGAGATGACCACCATCTGTACCATCTCACGAGCCCAGGCTCCCAGGACCTGAGATTTCTGGTAAACACATTATGATCCTACATACTGGCCTGGTAACTGACTTCCAGATGCCAATTCAAATGAATTTAATGTCTCAAAAGATAGTTGAGACAGGCCAAGTATCATCGTGATTAAGACTCTGTGCTTTGAGGAAAATTAATAGGGAGAGAGTTAGATAAATAGTTGAATGGATAAAGCAAATAAGGCAAAATTTTAACTTTGGTGAGGCTAGGCAAGTGCATAGGTGTTCACTGAATTATTCTCTCAACTTTTCTGTAGGTTCATAAATTTTGAAAATAAAAATTTTGGGAAAATTTGAACAAAAAAAGTGAGGTTTGGAAAAAGAGGCATGGTTCGAATCCTAATAAACTTATTAGTTGTACAAATTTGGACAAGTTCTTAACTTTTGAGCATCGATTTATTCATGCAGTAAAGACAGTAATAATTATTTTCAAACTATTGTTTACTATACTTTGATGTTTGCATGCAAAACACCTAGAATAGTCTCTGGCATTAGCAGTTGCTCCATAAAAGGTTATATTAAAACAACTATTTAAGAAGCTGTATAAGCTGTTCTAGAGCCTTGAGAAACAAGCTGGAAGGAACAAACTAGATTGACATCAATTATGAATATGCTGATTCCATGTATAAGTGCTGATGATGCTTTTTTTTTCTTTTTCATAGCTTTTCTTGGATATTGCAAGAAACTGTGAAAGAACTAGCCCCTCGATGTGATGTGACTTTCATGCTGTCAGAAGATGGGAGTGGAAAGGGAGCAGCTCTGATCACTGCTGTAGCCAAGAGGTTACAGCAGGCACCGAAAGGGAAATAGGAACCCCTCAGGGTTGGGCCCGATGCACCTCAGACACCGACCAGCCTTTCCTTTGGCAGATAAGTTGGTCAGGGACCAACAGGCAAGCTTCTGGTTGACTTCACCTTCAGGATGGCCGAAAGAGAACCCCAGGTTCTCTGGTATTTGTAGCATTTTGTTGCTACTGGGTTTTCAAAGGCAGTAAATGATATCGTTATTTGGCATATTTGAGTCCACGATGGGCCAACTTGTAAAATTAAAGGATGTGGCTCGAGAGCTCCTCTCTCAGCAAATTTTTCAGTTAAGGGCTGACCTGTCAGTTTTCAATGGCTTTGGGTCTTGTGGCTGCTGGACTTGGCAATTATATGTACAGTCTGCCCATGTGGCCTGTCTGGCTGAGCTCCCACTTGTGTGCTTCAGCCATCGCTGTAGTAGATTGAGCCCTCTACTACACACTCAAAGCGGCTAGGGACTCATGTAATAAACTGGAGATTTAATCTAACTTGTTCTTAACTTGTCATGTTGACTTCAAATGTGAAGAGAGAACAAAGACTTTGGAGTAATCAGCCCCAGGATGAAGAAGGATTGATTGCCAGGGAGCCTTGTAGGAAGCTTTTCATGCTCAAAGAGAGTTATGTCAGCACCCTGTAGTTTTGTTTCTCGATATGCATGTGTTATTCTTAGGGTTGCTGTTTGGGGTACCTGTTTTTCATTTTACATGTGGTTTGTGTCACTGTTGTTTATAGTTGTTTAAAGGGCTGTCGAGTAAATGAAATCCACTAAATGAATAAAAATATTTGATTTCCCAAGAATCTTTGCATGAAGTATTAATATTTCACCTGGGAGGCTCACTTGGTAACTTCATGCTCGCTAGTAGAATAAAGGGCACATAGAGTCAGAAGTTGCTGAGAGCATCTCTCCAGTCCAAATTTCCTGCCAATAGGGAGAAATATATGGAATATCTTCTACAATATCTTTAACAGATTATCCAAATTTCATTTGAATGAATACTTCCAGTGACTTTATCCCATGATCCCACAGTCTAAAAGGATGAGGGAGAGGCCCACCCGGGCTGGGGACAAATGAGGGAGTTGAGGTTCTCATACATTCAGTAAACATGTATGAGAATACTGCTGTGAGTCCTAGATTTACCAAAATGAACTTTTTTGTATTTTAAGATTATACCTCTTTGGAGAGAGGTTTATGGATTTATTAAATTTATCTCTTTGTATTTTGAGGTTATGCCTCTTTGAGGAGCTGTTTCACCTGATCAGATTTTGTCTT